ATTCGTGTTGACGGCAAAGACCCAACAAATGGCCGTACCGCGACGGAGCTTAACAAGAAGAAGAAGATGACGTATATCAACTCACCCCAGTTCCCAACGAAGGGATTCCCTCTGTCCAGCGATCGTTGCCGCAGTTCGGCCGCTATCCCGTCGAGCAACACCGGGTGCCATGCGCTGACCCGAGACCCTCGTGACTGTCACTAACACGATGAGGGAATGCTCATGTGCAGCGGAGGGACTCACCAGTCGACCTGCGCACCCTATAGATTCTGCGCATGCGTGCTGAGGATACACATCAGGTTTCACCCGTCGATGTCTAGCTGGTGCCTGAGTGACATAACCAGTATGGGATTAACAACGTCAGCTTTCTTCCTCACTGTAGACCTGCTATTTCGACGCTGGAGAATTAACGATTGAAACGACACTGGAGAAACATGCTCCGACTTCCCCCGACTCGCGATCAGCGATGACCTGTCAATTTGACCAACTGTAGGCGAATACACCCTTGCCGTAGTATTCACCTCGGCCTGCCGTTAAGCGGATCCTCTCGAAAACTGCCCATACTAACACTGTGATCTCCACGTCTACAAAATACGCATGCGCAAAATCTTGCGAGTGCGATGGGACTTACCGGCCTCCTCCACCATTCGATGCTGCAAACAGTTCGCCGCTGGATGTGAGCAATATGGATTCCTACATAGAGAAAACAACAACGTGGAAATTCTCACACAGGAAGGGGAAATCAACCCCGAACTCACCGGTGTTGTCGATAACCGTTGCAGTCGAGCACTGTGGCTTCTCCCTCCAGAGCTGGCCGCGTTATTCTGCTGTAGAGAAAAGTAAAACTCGCAGTATCTGTAGCAGAAAAATGCCGAGGCCGGGAATCGAACCGGGGACCTTCCCTACTCAGATGACTGAATATTCACATTCCACTGTAGAATATCCGCTAACGCGAAAGCCTCCAGTTTCCTGAGCCTATATAGAGGGGGACCACCACCGTAGGCGCCGAGTTGGATCAGACCACATCTGGAAGGACGGTCAGCGTCGCGCGCCACGAAATTAACACTTACTTGCTGAGGTAAATGAAGCAGTCTTGCAAGTTCGAGAGAAACAGACAATAGTCTTCCCATACCTGAGACCATGGGGTGACGT